GAATGGTACTAGGTGTTAGACCAGTGGGGTCAGACTGGAACTTGGTTCAGCAACTGCAGTACTTGAGTTCTGGCTAGTAAAGAATTCAGAGCCAAGACTCAAATATAAGAGAAAGTTTATTTGGAAAGTCACAGAGGTGGAAGTAAGTGGTAGAAGAAATGAGCACAGGAAACAAGGTACAGAGGCCAAAGGAGGGCCCTTGGAGCTTAGAAGAAAGAAAGGTAAGGGTAACAGGCCTGGTGAGTGGGGGGGGGGGGACTCAGAGTGATCCTGGGAGGGTCCTCCTCCTAAGGGCTTTTAAGGGCAGGGAGTTTAGGGGAGCTCCCAGGGGAGGAGCTCAGTAGAATATTTATCAGCTTTCCAGGTGTGTCCCTTCAGGGTCATGGCCTCTACTGATTGGCTGGTGCTAGGGACAGGAGGTCATTAGTCAATGCCTCTAGTCCTGAGGCAGCCATGGTTTGGCTTGTCTGGTTTTGCTGCTTTTCTGGGCCTAGAGCTAAAATAAAGCTGAGGCCTAGGTCGGAACCTCAGTCCTGAGGGCTTAAGACTTATAGGCTAGTCTCCGGCCCCCTTGTTTATTCCTCCTCTAAGAGGGTCTAACCAACAAGACTAGCAACGTGCCAGGGAAGGAAAGGTCAGGGGAGAGTCCGGACCGCATGACCATAGATATGAAAGGTGAGGGGGTCTGAACTGAGTGGCCAGAGATATGCTGGGGGAGGAAAGGTTTTCCTAGTTTTGTCCATTGTTAGGCATCTGGGGCTTTCTGCCTTGGTGACCTCTGTACCTGGCCCGTCATCTTTGCTCTGCTCAAGTCTAACTGCCACCAGACCTAGGTTCAAAGGCACACGTAAGTATTTCTATAAATATTCTCTCTCTCTCTCACACACACACACTTAGGAGTTTTATTTAAAAATAACTAAGTTAAATTAACTAAACACACATTCCTTAGCTTTATTAAAAAATACTGACAAATGCTTATGCTGTGATCAAGAGAAAGGTCCCAATGAAATCAGTCCACTTGTACTAGTCACAAACCCATACAGTGCAGTATTCCCAAAGGCTACAAGCCCTTTCAAACCTTTCAACAGGGCGCCTGGAAAGACACGCAACTACTATATTCAAGACACTGTATAACAGTTTAAAAAAATAAAGGAAGAACAGTGTGGTGATGGCGGGGGGTGGGGAGATGGAAGAGGGCATAAATGGTGACAAAAAAACTATAAAAAATCTTTTCAAAAGGAAGAAAGAAAGTAGGGAGGGAGGAGTAAAGACAGAAGAGAGAAGGAAAGGGAGAGAGGGAGGGAAGGCAGAGGCCACAGTGCTTGCTATTAAGAATAGAAAAGATCTAAAAAAAAAAAATACAAAAGATCTTTTTCCTTTCCTTATTTTTTTAATCTTTTCAACATCTGTCTCCTTGAAAGGAAATGCTACTTTCCTAACATCTGTGCTCTGCTAAACACACACACACACACACACACACACACACAATAAAATTACACCGTAACAAAGCTAGCTAGACATGCTAATTCACCTTCACAAAGCTGTATAACTCTTACTTCTCCTGTACAATGCTGTTCAGAAACAGTCTGTCCTAAGAGTAAAGGGGCTGTGGATTCTACATCTAGCTGTTTTGAGGGATTATAAAGTACCCAAGAGAGTTGACCCCCTAAATGTCTAAGAGATTTGGATGAAAATCCAGAGAGGAATTTTCCACAGCCCTGATGTTGAATAAAAACGTATTAGCTAAGCAGACTCTGCAAGGAAGGAGAAGGGAAGAGAGAGAAGAATGAGGACAGTTCATGAGTAACGGGCAATGCTTTTTGAAGAGCTGGCCAGGAAAATGAGCACAACTGCTTCAATCTCCTCTATGAGGCGGCCTGGACTAAAATAAACAAATTAGCATTATCATACATCCTTCAAGGACAAGCTTTACTAATGCAAATTTTGTTCATTTACTGTTAACAACACACCTGTGGGCTGAGAGTCACATAGCACAGAAGAACATCCTGGCACAGCAGCCCCCTTCTAATCTAAGACATCGGTTGAAAACTCACAGTCTGAATGGAGATTTTAAAGTCTGGCCTCACTAAGTCTTCATGACTGGGCTTCTCATTTCATCTCTCCACTGTGCAGGGACAGGGAAACATTTTAGTAGGTCAAATAGTAGTGGAAGCAAAGGTAGTGAGAGGCCTTTAAGGACAACACTCCTCAAGATCCCTCAAATCACACCACATTGGAATATACTTAAATCTGTATTATTTGTCCTGCTCTCTAACTTATCGCAATCTCTGTAAGAGAAATCTGAGTTGTTATAAAGGGCAGAATGGTGAGAAAAACACTTTGCGAGAAAGCAAAAAGAGCAAATATTAAGTTAATGTGTATCAGAGGCCTTTTATACATGATCTCATTTAAACCCTAAAACGGTTCTTTAAAGTATGCTAACTATCATGACTTCTCCAATTTAGAACCTGAGTTTCTACATGGTTAAGTGAGACATTGAAAGTCACAGCTAAGGGCTAAACAGCCAAGATTCAAACACAAGGCAGCTAACTCCAAAGTCTACATGTTTTATGTTATATCACTGTATGTCTAAGTCAGAAGCAGTCGGTCAACCCTGTGTCGTGCAGCCATTGCTCTGGCACCTTATTATAGCTTGGCACCAGTCACTTACTTCTTTAAGTCATAACTTCTTCATCTGAAAAACTGAGTTATTCACTACACTGCTTACTTTATATGGTATTACCATGAGATTACAGTGATACCTCGGTTCTCGAACATAATTCGTTCCAGGAGGACGGTCGAGAACCGAATTGTTCGAGAACCGAAGCAATGAAACCCAATAGGAAAGCGTGACTCCACAAAGCGTGACTCTCTCTCTGCACTCACACTGATGACGCAAGCAAGGCGCGCTGGGCCGAATGAACGCCATTCGGCTCAACTCGGCTCATCTCGGAAGTTCGAGTTCCAAATATTTGTTCGGATTCCGAGACAAAAGTTTCTCGAATCTCCTGGTCGAATACCGATTTAGTCGAAAACCGAGGCGTTCGAGAACCGAGGTATCACTGTATTTATTGTGATCGCTATTTAGAATCTACATGCCTAAAAGAAAGTGATTTGGTTTCTCTTTGTATCCGTTTTTCCCTGAATGGGGGGAGGGGGAACAAAATCATAGGATACCAGTAGCATTTGTCAGAAGCCAATCCTTACTCTGTTATTTTTAAATAGAAGCTTTCCTGTCTACAAATTATAATCACTTCTTTCAGTTCCCCATTTCATCCCCAAAGCAAAGCCTCGACTACAGAGAAGCATCACATTCTATATTAAGAAAGAGTTCCTGCCCTGGCCGGTTTGGCTCAGCAGTTAGAGCATCGGCCTACGGTCCAGAGAGACCTGGGTTCAGTTCCCGCTAAGGGCACGTACCTCAGTTGCAGTTTGTCCCCAGCCCTGGTTGGGTCGTGGGGGTGGCAACCACTCGATGTGTCCCTTTCACATCGATGTTTCTCTCTCTCTCCCTTCCACTATATCTGAACAAAATATCAAAAAATGCCCTCGGGTGAGGGTAAAAAAAGAAAGAGTTACTGTGCTGATAACAGGAAGGATAAAAACTAATCTCTAATTCTTACTTTCAGTTCTGATTACCACAGAATCACAGTCTGTTTCTTAAAGACACAGCTAAATACACTCATTCCCCGTGCATCACACTCCCCTCGCAATGAACAAACAGCCCTATGGGAATGGGGACGGCCCAGTGGGAGTTAGCAGTGTAAGTAGACTAGTATACTGGTGACCCTGATCACATCTACCTAGTAAGTGATCACATGTGCCAGTTAGTTGAGGGCAGTCCCAGTTTATATAAGTTACTAATAGTGCTCCCTTTAACCGTAAAACATATTTGTGATTATACAATAAACCATATAATCATTGTATTACTAAAAATGATAAATCATTTTCTTCCTTATTGTAAATCAAGACAGTGGCCAAGAATAGCACAATAGGTGTGGAAAAAGGCAGACACAGAATCAATACAAAGTGAAAAGAGAAATGCTGAAAACAGCACAAAAGCAAGTAATAGTTGCATATTCAAATATTACAAACCAAACACTATTGCTAAGTTTGGTTATTTCTGGCTTTAAAAACAACACAACTGAAAAATATGTACAGAATCAAACAGATCAGTGCTTTGAGTCCGCCTATCATAGAGAAGTGAAACAATCGACAAAAAAGAGTGACAGCAGTGGCTGCCCTGGCCCCTCACGGTGACCACTCCCTGACTTCCGTTCAGGCCACACTTAAGTTCTGTTCTCATTAAAGTTGTGGGAGTAACCTATAGACAGACACTCTGTACTGGGTTGAGTAATGCCGCTTAAAAATTCATTTCTACCAAGGACCTCAGAATGTGACCTTATTTGGAAACAGGGTCTTGGCAAATGTAATTAGTTAAAGGGAGTCATATTTGATTGGGATAGGTCCTCAATCCAGTGACTGACGTCCTTAGAAGAAAACAAGAGGACACAGAGATACAGGGAAGAAGGCCACGTGACAATGGAGGTAGAGCCTGAAGTGATGCAGCTACAAGCCAAGGAATGACAAAGGCTGTCAGGAGCCACCAGACGCTAGGATGAGGCAAAGAAGGATCTTTCCTGATAGGTAGCATGGCCCTGCCAACACCCTGATTTAAATTTCTAGCCTCCCGAAATGTGAGGAATACATTTCTCTTGCTTTAAGCCACCACGTCTGTGGTAATTTGTTACAGTAGCCCTAGGAAATTAATTCACATTAAATTATCCATTATCATCTTTTAAGATTTCACCACATGCAACTGATCAAGGGGCAATAAACAATGGCCCATGGAGGGCAATACTTGAACTATGCACCTAAAAGAGGAGCGTTCTGGTTGCCCATCCAGCAACCCTACACTGAGCCCATAAATACAGAAAGGAATTGCTCTGGAGCCGAGCAGCCTTCTTCCATAGGGTGGAAGGGCATTGACCAAGTTGTACCTCATCCTTCTTCTCCTGAATGCGTCGTCTCTCTGCCTCAATAGCCAGCTTTTCCTGGATTTCCTGAGCAATTTCACAGTCTTGCTGTTCACTAAAAAACAAAGGTCAAAACAACATGAATGAAGAAAATAAGGTACAATTTACCGACTACTCACTATGAGCCACCGTGCATATTTTTATCTCAGTCCTCACAATGGTGTTGCAGAGGTTGAAGTTGTCAGCACTTACAGATGAAGAACATGAGGCCCAGAGCAGTGAGGTCACTTCATTAAGGCACCCAGAAAGTAAGTGGCAGGCCAGAATCTGACCCCAGGCACCACAGTGGAAAGCTCCATGGCTTTCCTGCACGACCATATCACCTCACCCTACTGGGGCCACTCTACAGAGAGGCAAGCACGTTTTCCACAAAGGAGATATACACCGTGAGACTAATGCCCACAAATATCCAAATAGGTAGAGAGTACACAGAAGAACATTGAGAGTGAGATCACTAAATTGTCAATACTGTGGTCACCTACAGGGGGTGGTATGATTTTAAAATGATTTATTCCCCAGCTTCAGTCCCCAGTAGAAACCTCTCTGGCTGATTCCAGTTTGGCGACTAAGAAAACTGCTGCTACCATAGTTTTGTTTGTTTCGGCATTCATGCATTCAACAAAGATTTAAACATATCATCTTCTATGGTGCAGGCTCTATGCTCATCACTGAGAATACAAAAATAAATAAATCTTGCTCCTGGGCTCAGAAGCTCCCAATACACTCTGGTGGGAGAAACAGATCCTTTAAAACAGCAGTTCCAACAGAAAACAGAGTCTGGATCTCTCAGAGATGGACACAAGTCTTCTGGCTACAGGTTTTGAGAAAAGTCAATGGGCAGCTTAAAACTCTAGAATAAGATAGCTCTGAGGAACCAACCTTTACCCAAAGTGTTAGCTCAGAAAGGTGAACATAAACATGTTTCAAGTTTAGTATCTAAAAAGATGCTGGAATAAAATTACAATTGTGATTTATATATGTAGTTCGTTTGCTGAATAAATTCATCATCTTATCTCCCCAGCCAGTTAAACTTAAAATACTCAAAGAATTTCAGTGTTGGTTGTATAATGTGTGTGTTTTTATTGAACGTATAGGGGTGATACTGGTTAATAAAATTATATAGGTTCCAGGTGTACAATTCTATAATACATCTGTATAATGTACTGTGTGTTCACCACCTAAGTCAAGCCTCCTTCCATCACCATTTATCCCTCCTTTACCCTCTTCTACCTCCCTGCCCTGGATAATCTGTTTAATGGCAGCCTTTTGTAATTGAAAAGTGTTGTGGGGAGTGTGGAGAAGAGGGCAATATCCTAAATTTTCTAAACAAAATTGAGGGATAAAATATAATTTTCAAAATTATTCTCATTTGTATAAGGAAACAGACACTTTCCACATGTTTGGAAATAAGTAGATGTAGATGAAAACAGCTGTGTGCACACACACAGGTATATTTGCACACACAAGACAGAAAGAGGCCAAGAATACAAGACAGCACAGGCAAGAGACACAAGTGTTTTTTAGAGTCAGTGGGAAAATCACTGGACAAGATGTATACAGACCTGATGTCTGATTGTCCCAGTGAATCATGCCCGCTCATGTCATCTTAATCAGCTATAAAAGATTTTGGACTTAATGACTTCATATTTCAGGTCTAATATTGTAGGATTCTTAACCTTTCAAACCAAAAAGAATTGAAGATAAACAAAAAATCTAATCAGAATAATTTTTACTTATACATATATCCTCCTCTCGGTCACTCATTTCTAATAAGTAAGAATCATATACACGATTAGGGTTAGTTTTTAAAGGCTTTGCTACCTGGACCTTCTAAATTAACATGAAATCTGATTAGGAGTAAGCAAGTACTAACTACATCCAAGGTGGTAACAGACAGGAAGAAAGCAAAACACAGTAGAAAAGGCAAATCCAAATGAAGTGTTCAAGGTCACAAATGCCACAGAAGATGTATCTCCTAGTATAGAAAATAAAGAAGTGAAGTTTAAGTTGAGCTTAATTATTTCAGACCATATTTGTAAGAAGGACCAGTTCTAGTGCACTTAGCTAATTATATAGACTGCTGAGGAAGCAAAATCAAGTAAGAAAAAAGTAGTCCACAATCTTCACAAGCCTGACTTTGGACAGGAACTCCACGAAACAGAATGAGTGAAAGGTTCCGGTTCCTTAAAGTCTACAGCATTTAATTCTTCCCTTGATGTTCAGCAGTCAAGGCCACCAGGATGTGAACATCAAAAACCTTCATTTCTAACTTACTTCCTTCAGCCAGGAATGCCTCCAAAACCCCAAAGTCCCATGCAGGAACATAATACCTATTCTCTCACTTAGGACCACTCTCCAAATCTGATTTCTATTTTACACAGTTTTGACTGAATACTCTCTCATTATACTATCATGACCCTTATTCAGAATCTTAAACTTCTGTTCAACTTCAGAACTGACTTTCATAACAGAGACTTATGAATAATGCAAAGGGTAGTAGTTTAGAATTCTTGAGTATTCTAGCTCCGGCTCCCATCTTCACTCGATTTGTGACGCCAAGCCTCCATAGATCTCAAATTTGTCTTTTCTAACTCCATTAACATCACCCTCAATTCAGGCCTCATCATATCAGTCCTCTCTGTATCTGTATTATCCTGTGTCCTCCATTCAGGCCTCACCATCTCTTCTTTTTTTTTTTTTAAAGAGAGAGAGGGAAAGATACAAACATCGATCAGCTGCCTCCCTGCATGCACCCTACTTGGAATCAAGCCCAAAATCTGGACATGTGCCCTGACCAGGAATCGAAACAGGACCTCTCAGTCCATGGGAGCCACACTGGCCGGGTAAGCCTCATCATCTCTTAAATTGACCACTGCTGAACAGCTCCCTTCAATCTTCAATCCTGCCTCTCTCATTCTTTACCAGCCCTCAGAGTACTCCCAAAATGAAACTCTAAAACTCCTTCAATAGTTACTTCTCTATTATTTATAATATGAAATCTATAGAACTTAAATTCCTTTAAATAAGTTATGTGACTTTTTGCCCAGCTTTCGAGTACTCTTCTAGCTTCACCTCCTACTTAACTGTACTCTCCACTCCAGCAATGCTGACCGTCTGGCAGCTACCATGCGATCCCAGGTCCTTTTACCTCTTACCATTATGCATGCTTCTCCCTCTGCCTAGAATGGTTTTCCCCAGTGATCACTATAAACTCCTAATTAACCATCAAGGTGCAGATTAAATACATCAACTATGCTGGGACAGTTTTCTCAGTCTCTTCTCTCTTCATAAGAATGAAATTTAGTATTCAATTCTCTGTGCCTCATGCATGTGTCTCTACATACAAAGTGTTCAGAGTATGTTTTGAAGGCTGTTAAAGGCAATGGTTATGTTTCTTCATATAGGAATGCTTATTTACATAATAAGAAAACGGAAAAAATAAATGATGAATAAAGTCCACTCTACCAATACTAAAATAGAAAGACAAACCTTTCCTTAAAGGCAGCAAGAATAATAGGCTCTCCTGTTCATATGAACATGACAACTAAAAAAAAAACTGAGGGGGCCCAACTGGTGTGGTTCAGTGGTTGAGCGTCAACCCATGCACCAGTAGGTCACCAGTTCGATTCCTGGTCAGGGCACATGCCCAGATTGTGGGCCAAATCCCCAGTAGAGGGCATATAGGAGGTGGCCATCGATGTTCTCTCTCATCGATGTTTCCATCTCTCTCTCCCTCTCCCTTCCTTTCTATCTACAATCAATAAAGAAAAAAACAAAAACTGAGGGGTCCCTTCAATTCTTCCTTTACCCATTCCTCCTCAAAACAATATCTTGTGGCTAAATCCACCATTTGAAATGTGGATTATAGTAGTAATTATAAGAGAGTAGTTATAGGAGAGTAGTTATAGGAGAGTAGTTATAAGAGCTACTCTCAAAAAGAAATGTACCCTCTGAGTTTTAGTGCATTGAAAATAAAAAGTAATTTTGCTATAAGAGAACTTAGATATGATCTTTCTATTATCTAATTTTTTTTTTATCCTCACCCGAGGACATTTTTGCATTTATCTTCAGATAGAGCAGGAGAGAGAGAGGGAGGAAGAGAGAAACATCGACTGGATGCCACCCACATAACCCCAACTGGGGCCAGGGACAAACTGCTACCGAGGTACGTGCCCTTAGGGGGAATCAAACCCGGGTCTCTCTGGTCCATTGGCCAACGCTCTAACTGCTGAGCCAAACCGGCCAGGGCTATTATCTAATTATTAAAGGAGGAGGTCGAGTAAGAACTCGTGTATAATTCAGAGCTTTCCAGAAGATTCTGCATGTACCTGAAAAGCAAGGGGTTTAAGGAAAATAAGAGCAGCAAGCACTGCTAGGAAATAGTAAAGGAATCCAATAAATTCATAAAGTTCCTTCACATATAGAATTTTGCTGGATCCCCCAGACAACCAACCTATGAGGCAGAAGGGACAGAGATCATCTTGCCATGTTGTAGGGAAGGAAAATAGGTGGACCAAATGTCTCAAATGCTGAAAGTCCACACCAGAATCCACACATCCCAAAACCAAGTCAGTGTTCCAAAAACAAAGAAAATGGTCCAAATCAAAGAAAAGGATGGACGCTCTCACACACACACACACACACACACACACACACACACACTCTGTCATATAATGGTGACAGGAATCAGAGGAACAGGAGAGTCCCCTCCTTCCCTGCCCTGGTTGCTGGCCCACAGAGAAAAGCAGTCCTGGCATGATTCGCTCCCACTCCCCAGAATCCTCACAGGTCTTTGTAGCGCTTCTGAAGCTGAGCCTGAGCTTTCAGATCTTCCTCTTGGAGCTGCTTAGCCACCTGGAGATCATGCTGGACCAAACGGTTCCGCTGAATGTTTGATGCCAAATGATGCTCAACTGGACAGAAAGATTGAGGAGAGAAATTACAATGCGTTGGCTTGTTAATAATGAACCTCACAATTAACTTAGGAAGAACTTTTCCATTAAGAACTTCATATCCATTATTCATAGTCATATTCATTAGTCCCATCTTTCCATTAAGTAAAAAGGAGATCAGAAAAATTAAGTCATTTGCCTTTGGTCACAAGGCAAAACAGTGGCAGTACCAGGACTTCTACACAAATATTCTAAAGCCAGGGCTGCACAAGCTGCCACTCTATAAAATAAACTACATTTTTCAATGCTTACTTTTCTATTGACACATTAATTTATGGTTCTCAAATTACATATACATAAATATGTGCTTTTGTACAACACGTTTATTTTTCATAATTATATATACAAACATTCAGAAAAATCCACAGTCTAGGTAGGTGCCTTCAGTGCCTGGAAAAAACCTTTGCCCCTATTTCAATGGGAAGAAACAGACCCCTATGCCAGCCTTCCATACACTCCAAGTACATGTGTGGACAAAAAAGGGGACACATAATAAACCTGACCAGCTCAGGGAAGGCCTGCATGGCAGAAGTCATCACATAGGATGCTCTGAAACAAAACTCACTTTCTTAACTGAAAGTAAGTCATGGCAACTAGTCATGTCCTAGCCAGTATCTTCCTTGACAAAGGTCAATCTTTACCTTAACTGAGCCTGTCTATTGTCCTTTTGCAGTTGAGATAACATACCTTTGAAATGTCAGAGTAATCCCCTTTTACTGGAGGAGGAGACCCAGAACACTTCTTGTTATCTTGTTTCCCAGTATACCATCTCTGTGTGCTGTAAATGTTAATTATTAGCTACCTTGTACACACCAATGTCAAAGAAGTATGTGTCTCTCCATTTTATTCTTTATCCAATCTCAGAGATTTCCCTTATTTGCTTTCTCCAGCCTCCCTAATCTGCCACCAGTGGATTTCATGTAATCCACCCTATGCTTCCTCCTTTGACTATATATAATGTATTAAATAAACTGCAAAACTGCCATTCTCTAGAGCATTTTCTCATTCTGCTTCTAGGCAATACTCATTAGTTTGGCTCAAATAAACTCATAAAATTTCTCTATAGGTTTAGACATTTCTTACGTCGACACGTGTATAACCAACGTCTCCCTCCTACAACATCAACGTTTCAAGTCCCTCTTTTCCTCCAATGTACTCAGCAGTCTTCTAACACCTGGAAGCTGTCACAGTACAAAATACCCATAACTTCCTTCTTCATCCAGGTGACACAGGCCTAGACAAGTCCCTTAGCGGGATAGATGGTGCAGCCTGGGGACTGTGTTTTCTCCTTGCTTCACCCTAAGACAGCTGCCGCAAGCTACTACTACAAAAAAGAAAGCTGAAGGAGCATGAATGAGGCTATTACTCACTCTCTTGTTCCTGCAGGTTGTGGGCCAGGGTGTGGTCCTCCAGGACAGCAAAGTCTCGACACACTGCAGAGGATGAGGGGAAAGCACAGACAGGGAGGCTCATTAGTAGTTATTTCAACATAAAAGAAAAGCATTTTTTTACTTCAAAAGTCAAGTCTCATATTTTATGATGATCAACTTTATTATAACTTACATTGCACAGAACAGTGACTAGTTAGCATAGTCTTCATTCACAAAAAAAAAACAAACAAAAAAAAAAACACATTTTACCTGCTCAGTTAAAGACACAGGGCATCACAAAAATGGTTAGCTCTGGTCCCTAGCCTAAAGACATCAACCACAGAATCAGAACTTAGAGGTCAAAAAATTTCAACCCACCTTCTATAAAGGGAGGGCAAGTACTGCTGAGATAATGAGAATCTTTTGCATACTGGAGTTGAGAGAAAACAGAGTTCTCACACGGTCAGAGGAGTTCACTAAATCGAGCAAATGCTTCAGCCACCCTGGGTTCAGAGGATGCTCGCCCACAGACTCATGTCTATCCAGGTGTCATTAAGGAAAAAGATACCTTCGCTAGTCCCTCTGGTAGGAGCAGATCTCTACTTGAAGCATAATCACATTCTTTACTAAGTCCACCCCCTTAGACATGAGTTAGAATTGGTTCTCTAGATCTCTCTAAAGGTAGAGCTGCCTAAAAGAAATCTGCAAACCAAAAAAAAACGGGAACCTTGGAGTATACCAGGAATCCACCTCTGACTTTGCCTCCACCTGGAGACCCAAGCAAGAGCATTTGCTGACCTATTTTCTTGGAAGGAAATGAAAAGAGATAGTCTCCAAGGTCCAGTCTACCCCAAATTGCTTTTAAACTCCTGCTTCACATAGGAGGCAGGACTCTTATGAAAAGTGGTGTTTTGTTTGTTTTAAGGACATGTAGTTTAGGTGATATGGCCTTACTCTATTCCAAATGTGTAACTGACATTAAAAAAAGAATTCCCCAAAGCCTCGGACTATTGCAATGTGTAGGACTTACGAAAATGTCCCAGAGGCTTACCAGAGGTTACAGATTTACTTCTGGCAGCTTTGGATTTTCCTGGAAGGACATTTGCCTAAAATGGAATGAAAAAACACTCCTTTGCCATTCTTAGCACTATATATGTTCATATATATATATTCATACAGCCCTGACCCTTACTGTAACAAAAAGTAGGCAGAGTTTGGAGAAGTCATGGTTAGTATGAAATGGTTTTATGATGAAGGAGTCAATTCTGCCCAAAAACCATATTAAACTGAATATGACCTTAGCTTTACCCCTTGCTCAAATGCAACTGCAAAACTAGTAATTCCAACAGAAAGTCCTGTTCAGATATATTCTCAGCAAATTCTAACAACTGGAAGCCCAGATATGTGTTACCCAGTATTTCACAGGCTGAAAGTGCTTGCAAGATAAGCTGGCTAACCTCCCATTTAATAGGTGAGGAGGGCCAGAAGGAAGGAAGAACTTATTAAGGTTATATAGTCTGTCCTAACAGGGCTGGGAGTCAGCTTCTGAGGCAACCACAGTTCTTTCCTTCCCTGACACCATGGCAGCCCCCCTGGACTCCAGGTAAACCATGGTTGGAATAGACTGAAAGTTCTACACTAACCAACATGAATTCTCTAAAACATTTAGCTCATTAATATTAATTACTCAAATGGCTAAGATATGTATGGATTTAGTTAACAGAAAACAAATATTCAGAATAAATTCTCCAAAAGGAACACAATCACATATTGTGCAAAAGAATGCTATTCAATTCACTGCCTTATTTGAAGCAATTTTATTACACAACAAAGGCTTATGTTTGTATATGAAAGTTAGTATTCATTTTAGATAAACTAAGATTAGATTATTATTTTTTATTGATTTTTTTTTTTTTTTTTTAGAGAGCGAGAGATAAGAACATTGATGTGAGAGAAACATAGATCAACTGCCTCCTACACGTCCCCCAACTGGGGATCGAGCCTGCAACCCGGGCATGTGCCCTGAATAGAACCTGAAATAGAACCAGGACCCCTCAGTCCATGGGATGACGCTCAACCACTGAACCACACCCACCAGGCTTTTTTTAGATTTATTTTTTAGATTAACCTTAGTATTTCTCAAATCATGGGTGGCAACTTATCATCAGAAAATGAACTTATTAAATCTGGGACAAGTATTTAAACATGAATAAACTAGAAAATAAAAAGCATCACACATCTATGGTTTAAAGAACCATTTTCAGTTTTATACGCAAGTGTTTATATGATACGTATTATGTCACAATGTAAAACATACATCACTCCATAGATTACAGTCAAATAGTGTAAAAGCCATTTCAATTTATGTTATTAGGGTAGAAAGTTATACCAGAAAAGTATATTTTATATGTTTTTAATGTGTTGAATGAATTTAAAAATTATAAAATTAGTGTAGTTTTCCATGTGGATAACCATGTGGAGAACTGCAATGATTTTATATTTATCTTACTCAGCACAACAATAAAAACATGTTTATGGATATGCGCCCCTGAAGTAAAAATACGGCACTCCCATGAACTGAACTTAGGGTACGGTCCCCTCCAGAGGAAAGCCTGGGGCAGGAGGGCCTTTGTTCTATGTGCTGTTCTGTTGCTTTATAACTGAAGAGAAAATACTGAAGCAAATAAGGTAAAATATTAATATCTATTAAATTTAGGTGGTACTTTTCTGGGTTTCTATATTTCCTGTGCTTTTTGTAATGGTTTTATATTTATACACATCCCGTTTTTAATTCTATAATTAAATATAAAATTTTTTAAAATCCGCATCTTTTATTCCATCAATAGCACACATGTAAGACAGCTGACAAATCATAACAGGTGCAAAGAGTTTATGTGTTATAAATGAGTTTAACAATGACTATTAAAGATGTCTTAATATTTAAACATCAAAACTGAAGTATATTCAATTACTATGATTTGACCTTGAGTCCTCCCACAGTGAGGCTGAATTGATACCCACAAAATATGGGTAAGGCCTGAGCTGGAGGACAATGTAGAAAATCTTCAAAAGCTACATGGAAGTACACACTCATATACATAGAGACTGGTATTGTTCATACACTGACGTGGCACTTCAGAGTTTACTAAGAACTTCCAAATGCATAATCTCATTTCTACTAACGCATTATTTGCTCAATCCATAATTTCTTCTGTATCCACTCTAGTTCCTTCCCAGATATGCCTCTGTATTCTGTGCATCCGCTATTCTAATGCAAGCAGAAAACAGTCCCACATCCAGCTACCTTTGTAAACAGTAACCAGACTGGAATTACCAAAAACGTTTCGCAGCCAGGCCAAGTCCGGAGCCTGGACATTTGCGTCCTTACTAATCTAGTCTACTTTGAAGTAAATAGTGTAAATAGTACAAGGGATAAACAACATAAACGCATCTCACTGCTTAAGATAAACCACTGGACCCTGTGCTTTCACCCCCCACTTCTCAAACCTTCTCCCTCCTGTGAGCATTTTCACTCTCCCCAATCTCAGGTTTATCTTCTTGCCATTAAGCCAACCACATCATTCTTGTTCATTCCCATCTACACCTCAACAGTCCTTTAGCTTCTTCCCTCTGACCCAAACATTTTCCCCAAAGTTAGAGCATGGTAGCTAAGTCTGTTTTGCACTAAAATAACCATGTAACTCTGCCTCCTTGCTTAGAAAACCATCAACAGAATGAGAAACACACTTCATCCTTCAACTGAGCACACAGCTGCCTCCCCATGCAGTTGCAACTCTTCAGAGAAGGGGCCCTGTGGGACTAATCTCTGCATCATCCCCACCACTAGCACTGGATACAGCATACCGTAACACCTCCAGAGATGTGCATTAAGAGAAAAAAGATGAAGAAAAACTGGTGGTCAAGGGCAAAGAACAGTAAGAGTTCCATAGACAAAGGAAGAAAACAGTATTAGGAACAGAATTAAGTTCTGTCCTTACAATGGCATCACAGAGACAAGCAAAATAATTTGAATATTATTTAAATAAAAAGTTAAAACCTCACCCATTCCTATTAAAAGAAATTCAGCTTTAGTGATTTTTAATCCAGATATGTACATATAAATAGTGATTTGTTTACATTAAGCCAAGCAAGTTTCAGAATGAGAACTGGGATTTTACATATATAGGTAGATAGGTATAGATATTCTCTCATACACATACATACACACACACACACACACACACACACACACACACACCATCCATTTTTCTTGAAGAGAAACTGATTCCGATTCTCTGTGGTTCCCTCTGAATAAATGGCATAGTATGCACCTAGTAAACACATTCGTTCAACAAACATGTGCAGAGCACTATGTTAGGATGAATAAGGCACTTAAAGACATTAAGGTGGTGGAAATGACAAAATGGCAAAAAAGAACACAGAAAATGCTTTAAAGGCATAAACAATGGAGCAGTTATGTTTGTGATTTGAAGGCAGGTTAAGGAGTGGGGGTGACTAGGGCAGAGTATATCAGGACACCTTAAAGAGTTAATATACAAAATAAATCACCAAGGAAGGTTAAAATTCCTATAGGCTGAAGTGGTAAGCACTCTTGGCAGAAGGCCTAATTAACTATACAAGCTAGACGAGGAGTGAAGAAGTCATTCCCCTGCTGTCATTCTTCTACCCACATCCCAAAACTTTCTGAAAATAGAATTCATATGACTCAATCTTTACAAGCTTCCACCCACATAAAAATGCCTGGATTAATAACACATTCACTAGAAGCTACTTTTTTCAGTTGTGTCTGTATTGCCTTTCATGATCTGGTATAATTTTGTGAATCGTTCTGTTTTTTGTGTAAATTCTATTAGCAGATGGAATACATACTCATTGTTTTGAGAGCAGGGATTATGCTTGCTTTTCTTTGTTCTGTGCACATAAAAACACTCTCTATGAATGAGAAAGATCTTCCAGACTCCTATTTTGTCTTAAAGCGTTTGGTAAAAGCAGGCAGCCATACCTGACATTTATAATGCACTCTGCAGATTACAACGCAAGGTCACAATTATTCCTCCTAACCACTGAAGATAAATGTTTCATGAACACCTTCATTTTATTTTTGAGGAAACTAAGGCTCAGAGAAATAAAGTAGTTTGACCAACATAACCGACAAGTGAACAAATGAATTAGAAACCAAAACCAAAATGAGCTCCTCCAACCCCAAATATTTCTGTTAAGAACTCCTATTAAAAAAAAGTGTCTACGTTTCACTATGTCAGCAAAGAGTGATAATATTAAATATTAATTAAAATACGGCTATTGAGGAGGAAATAAAATTTAGGTAAGGGTGATACATGTGTTCAGAAGGTGGTTTCTAGATTCCAAAATAAATAAATAAAAATGGGACACAATTTACTTTATCTCACTACCTCCCAAGAATAAGCCTCTAGGAATCACAGCTGGCCTGTGTCCACTTCTGAAACAAGAGCAATACAAAGTTCATTTTATTTGCAGTGTTCCGGAGGTGACATATAAGAAAAACCCTAGGTAGTGACTACAGTGGAAAATTCAAAAGAAAATCTCCCTTTGAGATCTAACTCCCCCCCACACACACACTCCTCCACTCTGCATCCAACATCCGTGAGTTTTCCTCCCTTTAGAAAGGGAGCAGTAATGAATTTTAGATGAAGGTATCCAAGATGTTAAGCCAATTTGAACTAAGAAATAACATATGTAAACCCCATGTGTTTGTGTGCTGCCCTACAAAAGAAATGTTTCCTAATTTATTAAAGAAGAATTTCTTTATCTAAAGCTCTAATAAAATTGCCATGGTAGAAGAGAAGAAATGGGACGCAGGGAAAATGTGAATAGACCTCACCCTAACATCAAATCTTCGACATTCTCAGCCCCATTGCTAAAATGAACACCAAAATCAGCCTCCACCCCCATCACGACCATCAGTGGCAAGAGCATCAGGCAGGGAATGCAGACATTCTCCCAATCATCTGCCCCAATTGTGAGTCCCAAAAGAGCAAACAGCTGGTCCCTCTAACAACTGAAATTTCTCTTTCAGACAGAATGTTGAAAACAATAAGAATAATAT